GAGCATCAGGCGGGCGCGGCGCGGGGCCAGCTGCTCGCACGCACAGCCACCACGACACCGAGTAGCAGCGGCCTGGATGGCGGCGTCCTGCATGGGCGGGCACAAGCACGAGCAAGAGCACCAGGCGGGGCGCGCGGAGCGGCGCGGGGGCAGCGCCTTGAACTCGGACAGTCGCGGCCCTGAGTAGGATTAGCCCAGCGCCGGCGGCTTGCCTTCAGCATGGGCACGATCAAGAGCATGAGCAAGTTTACACAACACTCGGTGGCCGGTGTGGTGCGACCCACCCCGCCCCCGGACCCCGGACCCGTGCCTAACCTTGACGCGTTGGCCTGAAAAGCACAGGGGGACGAAGACGAAGACCATCGCCGGCAGGCTCCCGATGGCGAGCATGTCCGTCTGACCGCGGAAAATCACCATCTCGGCCGTGCTCAACATGGGCATGAGCAGCACCGTGAGCAACAGGAACGGCACGAGCGGGCGCCAGACCCGGTCCACGACGCGGCACAGGTCCTGCGCGCGACTCATCAGCAGCGCCACGCGGGCCACGGGGCCGAGCCCACCCTCCGCCTGAGGGCCAAGCGCGGAGCGGAGTCGAACAACTAGTATGTAGCACTTAAAAGGGTACTCACAAACTACGCGGTTTAACACTTACAAATATTCAACTTGCCGTTGCATACTTAAAAGTGTTAAGCAGATGCACACTTGGTTTCTCAGTGTACTGAAGTACAGCTTCGATGAAAAATATCGCTGCACTTCGATGAAGTTTGACTTCATTGCGTACATTTCGGAACCCCGTTTCTCCATCGCACGCGCCTCCCCGGAGTCGCAATCGTCGCCCCTACTATACCTCGAGCGGCAGCGGCAACTCGAAGAGCAGCTCGGCAGCAGCGGTGAACAGCACCTGCTGCAGCAATATCAGCGTGTAGAATCCCAAGATGCAGCTCACAGACAGGTACGAGTAGAGGTAGGTTTTCACGTCGAGTCCCTTGCCGTCCACCAAGAATGTGGCGAACACTGAGACTCCCGAACAGGAAATGTACCACCAGAAGGATAGCATGGTCCTCCGGACGCGTGACCCGACCGCCTGCAGCCGCTCCTGCCTCAGGGAGGGTTCTAGATCAAATGTGAGGCCGACGCCAAACACCTCCACGAGGTGACCTACATGAAGTCACCTCCACGAAGTCACCTCCACGAGGTCACCTCCACGAGGTCACCTCCACGAGGTCACCTCCACGAGGTCACACCTACCTCTACGAGGTCACCTCCACGAGGTCACCTCCACGAGGTCACCTCCACGAGGTCACCTCCACGAGGTCACCTCCACGAGGACACCTCCACGAGGGACACCTCCGCGAAGAGGGCGACCTGACTTACCTTGGTGGGGCCTCCACGCTGCTCCAGGACGCGTACCAGGACCACCGCCTTGTCGAGGGCCTCGCGGGCGACGTGGCCGCGGAGCACCCACACGGCGTGCGCCGTGCAGCTGGAGAAGGCGCCCACGAGCAGGCGCAGCGGCACGCGCCACGCCACGGCGCGCGGTGACTGCAGCAGCTCCCACAGGCACGCCAGGGTCATCAGCACGCTGCCCATCAGCGTGAACTGCGCACAGGATTGTCACAGTCATCCCTAACTGAAACATACGGCGCAGAAGAGAATTTTTTGGAAAAAAAACAAGACAAGAAAAACCTTTCTAGATTTTTCTTGAAAATAAGTTTCATGTTTTATTTATTTTATTCAGTCTTTCTGGAAAAATTTCAACTTTTTCGAATTTTTCTGGAAAAGTTTCCAATCTTTTCAAGAAAAAAAAAACTCCGGACTTTAAAATCCTTAAGTAGTTAAGTAGTAACACCGGGACCGACCCGGGTCCGCTGCATGTGTCGGAACACCAAGTTCCACAGGCCGGGGCCGTTGTCGAGCAGCGCGCGGCGGACGTCGACCAGCGCCTGGGACAACAGGTGCTTGTCCACCACGGCCTGGCCCTCGGCGGCGGCGAGCTCCTCCTGGCGGCTCGTCGTGGCCCGCGGCCCGCGCCCGCCCCCCAGCGCACGCGGGATCGTCCTCATGGCCCGGGGCAGTCGGGTAGTGCCTGACGCCCTGCTCGCCCTGGTGCCACGGAGGACACAGAGGACATGTGTCCTCCGTGCCTGGTGCCTCGGCGGTGCCCGGCAGCCCTCATGCGGCATAGTGCCGTGCCATGCCGTGCCGCCCCTCGGGGATGCAGTTAATAATTACCCACCCTGTGCGTGGCTCGGGCTCGCGCATGGCCAATGCATGAGACAAGGTGCTTCCGCCCCAACAGTTGCACATCCCTCC